CCTTGGAGTGTGGTGGAGGCTCCTTCTTTGGAAGCTTTTAAACAGAGGCTGGATGGCCATCTGTCGGGGGTGCTTTGAATGCCATTTTCCTTAGCAGGGTGTTCGACTGGATGGCCCATGAGGTCTCTTCCAATTCTATGATTCTATGATTCTCTTCTTAAACCAACAGAACCTACACCAGATTTTTGTCTAAACTCTTAGGAAGGTATCCCAGTTGCTAAACCTACTTGGATACTAATACCTTGAATGTACTCTTTAAAGTTCAGGGTTGCATCTGCAACCAGGTAGTTAGTTTCTGAATCTGTTCTATGGGGTTATTGTGCCTATACTCCATTTGCCAAGCAAGTGGGCTGGCCGTAATGCCAACTCATTAACATGCGGTGACCTTCTCTTCCGAGTTTTCCTTTCCCTTGGCAACTCTTAAGGTCTGTTCACCGAATCGTTACCGTGAGAGATGAGATCAAGCCAGAATGACATGGTACAAATTACTTTGGCTGAATAATCATATGATGAGCTACAGGAAAGGACTTTTATTAGCTTCAACTCAGCAGATATTGATTTGGGTGGGGGGAACGAAAAGGGTTGATCAGTATATCAGAAGGCGAGTGACAGCCGTAGAAACCTGTAAATCAGAGAAACAGTTTTATTACCAAAGTAAGAGCTATGAGCTGCCCTTTACAGTTCCACCGCACCATGCCAAGGAGAGCCTCAGATCGTAGTAATTTGTCTCCATTATCACTGGAATCCTTTGTGGATGGAGAGACTAAAAATGGTCCCTTTAGGTCCTTGCCTCTAATGGGGAAGAGGTAGGAACGATACACCTGTGACTCTCCAAATACACTGGAGTGGAACCTAAGAATTACTCATTTCTAGGGTTGTGGGGGAACTCACATAAACATCATGGGCATGAGGTATCAGACTTATTTAGTTTGATAGAAACACCACTGCAAAATAAAGGGGAAGTATATCTAAATCAATAGAACTTTCTCCTTTTTGTATGTATTTGCATGGTCTTCTTTATAATTATATAATTTTGCTGGGTGCATGAGACAAGTCTTAACTTTTCTGAGACTGGAGGAAGGGATGGAATTACAATACAGGGTATAGAGCCAGCATGGTGCAGCAGTTTGAGTGTTGGACTGTGACCCTGGAGACCAGTGTTTGCGTCACAACTCAGTCATGGAAACTCTCTGGCTGACTTTGAGCTAGTCACATTCTTTCAGCTTCAGAGGAAGACAGAGGAACCCATCTTCTGAACAAATTTTGCAAATAAAACTCCATTACAAGTTTACTTTAGAGCCACCTTAAGTTGGAAATGACTTGAAGGCACACAACAACAAAATACATAGGCGTCACCATGGAATTATAAGAGGCTGCATCCAGATGTTCTTCTACTAGAGATTGGCAGCCAGGTTACTGACTGGAGCCCCGTACAGAGAGAGATCCACTCCTATGTTATGGCAGCTCCACTGGCTGTTGCTCCCCTTCTGGACTAAATACAAAGTGCTGGTCATTATCTTTAAAGCCCTAAATGGCTCAGGTCCAGGCTACTTGACTGACAACATCTCCTCTTACAAACCAGCTTGGGCACTGCGGTCAGCGAAGGCACTGCTATCGGTCCCACTCCCATCTCAAGTGCAGCTGGTGGAATGAGAGAGAGGGCCTTTTCAGTGGTCACCCCTCACCTCTGGAACTTCCCCCCTAAAGAAATAAAGCTGGCCCCTCCCATCCTCTCCTTCAAAAACAACTGAAGACTCACCTTTGCTCATTAGCATATTGAGATTAGGAGAATTAGACAATGGTCCTTGGCAGCTCCTTCTCTACACATCAGCATTTTTGCAAAAGCAGACACATATGGCAGTATGGCAGTAAATCAGGACATATGGGACTTACAGTCATTGGAAGCATCCCTGAAAATGACTGTAATTTTTAAATGACTATAGTTGAAATACAGTTGATGTATAGTACACTTGATATATTATTCAGTTAACATGAAATCAGTTAGAAATGTACCTGTATGCTAAATACATGAAGTTTGTAAGTAAATCAACTATGTTAACTTTTAACAAAGACTACTTATTTTTGGTCTCTTGAGATCATGATTTAAAACCAATATATTTTATGGGAGAGTGAATATGTTTTTGGGCAGCTAAAATAACACTTCTGTAGGTCTGCTCTATATTTTGTGCATTGGCATATCTTTGTTCCTAACAGTTCAAAGAGATAACCATAGATTTTATTTATTTATACGCTTGTATACCGCTAATATCTCAGCCTAAGTCGGCGACTCATTGCGGTTTACAACAATTAAAAACAGTATTCAATTTAAAACATAAAACACATATACAATACAAATTATTGGGCCACCAATAATAATCCCATGCATCTCGTAACTAAAATCACAATCCAAAATTCGTCGTCCATGATTACCAGTCCTTTAGTCATCAAAATTCGTTGCAACGGATTAACCGAATGCTTGTTTAAACATACCATGTTTTCAATCTCTTCCGAAACACCATCAGCGAAGAGGCTGATCGTATCTCTATAGGGAGGGTGTTCCAAAGCCGAGGGGCCACCACAGAAAAGGCCCTGTCCTTCGTTCCCACCAGCCGCACTTGGGAAGCCGGTGGGATAGAGAGCAGGGACTCTCCAGAAGATCTTAGGGTCCTGGTGGGCTGATAGGCTGAGATACGTTCGGATAGATAAGTTGGGCCAGAACCGTTTAGGGCTTTAAAGGCCAACGCCAGCAGTTGGCCTTTAAAGATATCAGTCTAACAGCTGAGAAACCTAAATTGCCTTGCATGAATCTTAGTGGATGTTTACCACTAAGGAGAAGATTGACTCAAGTGAGTTTTTAACTCTTCTCAGGAAGCTCATACTTTACAAAAGGTTACAATCTCTAACAAGGTCTTGCCTTTCCAAAAGCTTATGATTATACCAATAGCATCATTGCTTCTGGTCATATGAAATATCATACAAAAGCTGACTGGCACAACCTGAGGATCACAACCAGATACAGTGAAGACATCTGACCTTGTGCTTTGCTACTTTGCTCCTGAATACGTATGCCCAGTGTGGTACACATCTCACCATGCTAAAACAGTGGATGTGGCTCTTAATGAGACATGCTGCACTATTACAGGGTGTTTGCGCCCTACACCACTGGAGAAATTACACTGCTTAGTTGGTATTGCACCACATGACATCCGCCGGGAAGTAGCAACCAATAGTGAAAGGACCAAGGCAGTGACATCTCTGGCCCATCCCCTGTTCAGATATCAGCCAGCACACCAACGCCTTAAATAAAGAAATAGCTTTTAATATCTACAGAGATACTCACAGGAAGTGAGTATCTCTGCAAGTTGGAGTGCAACAATGGCAGGCTAAAACCCAGCACCTCAACCCATGGCTGATACCAAATGAGTGACTTCCTCCTGGGCACACAGAAGACTGGGCGACTTGGAAGGTGCTGAACAGACTGCGCTCTGGCACCACGAGATGCAAAGCCAACCTTGAGAAATGGGGCCAAAACGTGGAGTCCACAATATGCGAGTGTGGAGAAGAGACAACCATAGAGCACCTACTACAATACAACCTGAGCCCTGCCACACGCACAATGGAGGACCTTCTTATAGCAACACCAGAGGCACTCCCAAGTGGCCAGCTACTGGTCAAAGGACATTTAATAGAATGCCAAGTTTGCAAACTTTGTGTTGTTTTTTTTAATACAATACAACTGTTTGGTTCACTCCTGACACAATAAATAAAATAACATTGTTGTTGTTGTTCATTCGTTCATTCATCTCCGACTCTTCGTGACCTCATGGACCAGCCCACGCCAGAGCTCCCTGTCGGCCGTCACCACCCCCAGCTCCTTCAAGGTCAGATCCAGTCACTTCAAGGATGCCATCCATCCATCTTGCCCTTGGTCGGCCCCTCTTCCTTTTACCTTCCACTTCCCCAGCATAATTGTCTTCTCCAGGCTTTGCTGTCTCCTCATGATGTGGCCAAAGTACTTCAACTTTGTCTCTAGTCTCCTTCCCTCCAATGAGCAGTCGGGCTTTATTTCCTGGATGATGGACTGGTTGGATCTTCTCGCAGTCCAAGGCACTCTCAGAACTTTCCTCCAGCACCACAGCTCAAAAGCATCGATCTTCCTTCGCTCAGCCTTCCCTAAGGTCCAGCTCTCACATCCGTAGGTTACTACAGGGAATACCATGGCTCAATCTCCAAAAGGGTCATGCTTCCTAAAGTCTCTGGAGATTCCTGGTTTTCCCAATATGTGCTGTTTTTGTTAAGCAAGACAGTGGCATCAGATTTCGTTGTTGTTTTGGCCTTACCACATGGCTCAATTCACAGCAGAATGTCATAATATACCTATGTTCATCATACTTTGATTTGATTTTTCCCCTTGTGGCCCTTTCTCCATTCCCAGCCCCCTTTCCTCCCCATAGCTGAAGCAACAAATGAACCTTGGCCATTCCTCCTTATGCGCCAACACAGGGCCCTCATTTTATTTAAAGCAGAGTGGGATTATAGGGAGACCTTGCCAGCTTGCGCAAGGGTGCGGAGCCACCTCTTCAGATAAGCGCTCTCCATTCATTAGACGGAGAGATTTTAAAGGCCTCTTTACAAGGGCATTCTTTGAGTGATTCTGTGATGCCAAATAAATATTTTAGAAGCCTCTTGATTTCCCCAAATTAGAACACGGCACATAATGCAATCACGCACTTGATTTGCTTTAATGCCTTTCAGCTGTACTTGGCTGCTGGTGATGTCATCAGACCATAATATCCATTGAGTTTTCCCCCACTTCATGTCTGTTTAAGCAAGAGAGAAACACACTTGACAAAAATGTCGGCCGTGGGCGCACAATGCGTAAAGGGCTTGCTTTTCTAGATGTGTAGAAGGAGAGCGCTAAAATTAAGTGCATTGACACCCCCTGAGCATTCAGACGGCTCAGCAACTCACCCACCTCTTCCTGCTTTTTGTCTCCTTAGGGATGCGGCAAGGGAATGATGTTGGTACACAGTATCGCTCCGCCATCTATACATATTCCCCGCAACAGATGGAAGCCGCCTTGAAGTCTCGAGATGAGTTCCAAAAGGTAAGTTTCAGAAGACCATATAAGGTGAATGCTTCCAAACTTCCCACGAACATCCAACTTTGGGCACAAAACATAGCTAGGTCTTTTCTTTTTGCCACCAGACTGCACTTCTGAAAAGTTTCTCAAAAGTTTTAAGTGTGGTTTTCTTGGTTCCCTGGAGACTCCTGTGATACTATTAGCTTCAGTGCACTTCACTCAATGATCCCTTGGCCTCTGTATACTTTTCCTTTGGTGTCATTCATAACGGAAATGAGAATCCATCACCCAGAACTACATCTTGATGTTGCCATCTCTCTCTGTTGTAAAAACTGGGATTTGCATGACATTGCTTAATGTTTTCCCAACTTCTTTTCCTCATACATTTAAATATATCTTTGGCGGTTGTGGGCCAAAATAAGAGAGTAATAGAGCCAGTCGGTTCTACATGCAGAAAGGCCTACCCAAGCTCTGTTTCTTTATGTCATTTGTATTAGACGAGGTTGTAGAGATGCATTAGATGAGGTTGTAGAGATGCTTTTCGCTGGAGGTTGCAAGCAGACGCATGAGAGACAATGACTTGAAATCAGATCCTGACAAAATGGTGGCACGATGGACTTGGCCATATTCTCTAGATTGAGGAAGCTGGTATTCAACCTGTGTTGCTCTTCCTCTGAAGAAGGAGGTGTGTAACTTAGGGATATTTCTCAGTCTAAAATTGTCATTACTTCTAGAAACTCAAAGTTTATATATCTGTGGAAGGTCCGGGGTGGGAGAAAGAACTCTTGTCTGTTGGAGGCAAGTGGGAATGTTGTAATTAATCACCTTGATTAGCATTGCAATGCCTTTTGGCTTCAAGGTCTGGCTGGTTGCTGCCCAGGGGAATCCTTTGTTGGAAGGTGTTAGCTGGACTTGATTGTTTCATGTCTGTTTTCAGAGTGTTGTTCTTTATTTACTATCCTGATTTTAGAGTTCATTTTCATGTTTTCCTCCTTTCTGTTGAAATTGTCCACATGCTTGTGGATTTCGATGGCTTCTCTGTGTAGTCTGACATGGTGGTTGTGAGAGTGGTCTAGCATTTCTGCATTCTCAAATAATATGCTGTGTCCAGGTTAGTTCATCAGGTGCTCTGCTATGGCTGACTTCTCTGGTTGAAGTAGTCTGCAGTGCCTTTCATGTTCCTTGATTCGTTTGTTGGTCCCTACGTAGACTTGTCCACAGCTGCATGGTATACGAGAGACTACTGCAAAGGTGAGAGGATCCTTCTTGTCCTTTGTTGAAAGTAGCATTTGTTGGATTTTCTTAGGGTCTGTAGATTGTTTGTAGGTTGTGTTTCTTCATCTGGTTTCTTTATGTGGTCAGTGATTCCCTTGATGCATGGCAAGAACACTTGTCCTCTGGATGGATCTTTGTCCTTACTCTCATGGCTTGTTCTTGGCTTTGCAGCTCCTACAGTTGACTTTTCCTACAGTTATCTTTACCTTGTTTCCTTTTCAGCATCATTTTTTTTTTAAAAAAAGAATCATTTTGCCCAGGATTTATAACTAAAGTTTGAAGATTTTTTTGCTTTGTTTTAGATGTAATTGTTTCATTTTAGGTTAATGTCCTGGTTGAAAAGTGGGTGATGTTTTTTCTCCATAGCCCTCAGTATTCTTGTTGACAAGTGGATTCCAAGAACTACCACCTAAAACAATATTTTTTCCCAGCTCTGTCAGAAAGATAGGAAGCCTCCATTTATGGAGACAGACCGGTTCTAGTTCAATGTGGTCTGTCATGTCTGTCATCATAGACCGTCTAAAGCAGTGGTTTTCAACCTGTGGGTCCTCAGTTGTTTTGGCCTACAACTCCCAGAAATCCCAGTCAGTTTACCAGCTGTTATGATTTCTGGGAGTTGAAGGCCAAAACATCGGGGGACCTACAGTTTGAGAACCACTGCTCTAGGGTCTCATGTGAGGTAAATGCCATTGTCAGGACCCAGAAGCCTTAATTAGAGCCAAACACAAGATAAGAGTTCAAACACAGCTTTATTGTACAAAAATAGTCTTTCAAAGCACTTAACTTCAGTGCAAAGAGTTCCAGGAGTAATTTGGCATCAAAAATAAAGCGATACCAGTCACAAAAATATAACCCGGATTATAGCGCTGCCTTATAAACTGGATTAAACTCAAAGTTAAGCAAATCGCTTGAAAGTTGGTATAGCACAAAAACACAGTCACGGAAGAAAGAAAAACGAAGTCCCAAAGCGAGGAATTGTTCAAGCACAGAGTTATAAGAGTTCAAAGTCCAGAAAGCCAAAAACAATAGTCAAACCGGTCCGTGGTCAAGCCGTTGGTAAACAAACGCTGGAATGCAGGAATCACCGAGGAACAGGAATTCAGGAACACACGAAGCTGTAGCCCAAGGACCCAAATGCAAGAGTTGGCAGTACAAAGAGTTATGTCCAATAAAGATGCTTTGCCTTCTGCAAAGTATCATGCAAACAGACCCCACTTTTATCTCAAAGTTCCTCATCAGAGCTTGATGAGCTCCCCACCCTTTCCTCATCGCTCTCAGCTGCCCCCAACCCCGCAGCTGAATCCGAGCGCCCATCCCTCCACCTCTGCCAGCGTCTGCTAAGACTTAGATCCTGCCAAGAGGTCCCTGGCTGCCAATCCTCAGTGAACCCCTCAAATTCCTCACTGGAGGTGGGTTGGTTACAAATGTCCCTTATTTGTTGAACACGGGTCCAATCCAATTCCTCCTCTTCCATATCACTCCCAGACCCAGAACTCCTTTCAAACCCCAGGAAGTCCTCATCCTCTGTTGGCGCACTAAGTATTTCCCGGATGCGCTTCCTTTGCAATTCCCCTTCGGACTCCGGATCGCGAGCAGCCCTCTTTACACCTCTGCTCTCCTCCCCATCCCCCATTTCGCAATCCAAGAAGCCTTGAAATGTGTCAGTATCACTTGGAACCATAATGATTTCCCTAATGCGCTTTCGCTGTTGTTCTCCCTCTGACTCCTGAGCAGACCTTTTCTCCCTGCTACCAGGAGTAGCAACGCTACCAACACGCTGAACTACAACAGCCATCGCCTGATCTCTGTGATCCCTTTTACTGGAAATGACAAGATAGGGACCCGGATCATTTACATTCATTGCATATTCTCTGCCACTTAGCTACCGTCCTTCCCCCAATGTGTCTTTTAACTATCTGTGGAGTTTGAACCCTTTCCTTCCTCCATTCAAGAGGCCTGAAAGTAGTTCTAGTCAAGCTACATTATTGTTTTTTTTCACTTTAAGTGTGGTTTTTCATTCAACACGTTGGAGATGGTTGTAAACTATCCCTCCTTCTTTCCTGCCCTGCAAGCGCTTTCCCTCCTGAATACTAAAAGGGCAGGAATGGTGGAAAAGGGGACCGTGGCAATAGGATTTCATTGCTGAGGCTGCCAGCGGCACTTTCAGAAGAGCTGAACACGTTGAACTCGCCAATTTCCACCTGGCAGGCTTGACTCCCCCTTCGCTCCCACTTAAGCTGCGGTTCAGTGTCAGCGGCTCCCCCCTGGTGCGCTCCGACTGGGGCTGGCAATCCTGTCATTGTCTGTCTGTTTTGGGCTGCCAACTTGGATGGAAAAGTACTGGGCTGTGACTGACTGATAGGAGGTCAAACGTGACTGTGAGAGCAGCAGGGGTTGGCCCTCTCTGCTTAGAGGCAGAAGCCTGAGCTATGAGGGCTCCAGCCATTCTTCAGCCAACGTCCACAACTTCCCTGTTGCTCTTTCCTCACATTCAATCTCAAAGCCACACATAGTAGTACCTTTTTTCAAATCTAACCACCATTGCTACCTGCTCACTGGTGCCATCTTTGCATCTTGCCACCTCCCACATTTTCTACAATACTTTGTGGGTGCAATACTTTGTTGTCATCCTGGAGCAACCTATGTAGCATCACAGGAAGGGAATTCAGTGCTATGAGGTTTCTCCAACTGTTTCTACCCGTCAAAAGTCCAAGTTTTTATGGAAGCAATATAACATATTAAGTTAAGTTCAATAAGTGAGAACACCTTGAAGTTATCTGTGAACCACCACCACTCAGTAGTAGAAAATCAGTCCGTTTTTCAAACAGGAAGAATTTTTTTACGGAAACTGGAGTGGGTATTACTGTGTCTATGCGAAAGCAATCCCTTGAAGAAGGAAGACATCCCCTTATCACTCTGGCCAAAGGCAAAAACCTCTGGGAACCTAGCTGCATAGGACAAGGCCTAGCTTCATTTCCCAATTGAGAGTATACAGTTGGGCTGATGTATCAGTCCTACCCAACAACAGAACCACCGAACTGGAAAGTGGCCCCAATGGTTATCTAGATCAAGCCCCTAAAAGTAGTATTCATCTGACGTTCATCGCCACTTCAGCCATATTGTGGCATTTCTTAAAGAACTACTGTTTACTGTTGAGCCCAGTTAAAAGTGCTGGTTATCACTGTCAGTCTTAAGTATCATGGAGCCCAAATATGTGGAGATGCACCATATCATTCTGTTCATGTACTATGATCTCCATAGAATGTCCTTCCCAAATTACCAACAGTTCTGGACAGGTAGCCATCCAACATCTGCTTAATCCACCACCTTGCTCTGACTTACAAGAAGCACTGTTTGACTATCAAGCAAAAAATGGGTGCTTGAAATAACATTGTATGAAAGCTGACTGGCACAGTCTAGGGATTACAACCAGATACAGCAAAGACATCTGCCCTTGCCCTTGCGTTTTGCTACTCTGCTGCTGAATACGCATACCCAGTGTGGAAAACATTGCACCATGTTAAAACAGTGGATGTGGCTTTTAATGAGACATATTGCATTATCAAAGGCTGTCTATGCCCAACACCGCTGGAGAAATTATACTGTTTAGCTGGTATTGCACCACCTGATAACAACTGGAAAGTAGCAGCCAATAATGAAAAGTCCAAGGCAGTGACAACCTCGGCCCATCCTCTGTTCTGATACCAGCCAACATGCCAACACCTTAATTCAAGAAATAGCTTTCTGAG